ACGAAATTTCCCTCTTTTTTTATTTCTCACAACAAATGCGCTAATAATTAACTTAAGAAGCTGTTTTTTTTTTATTTCATTAGTAGAAACCATCACAAATTTTCAAATTTATCATTCTTGCCTAACTTTAACTTTTATTTCTTACATCAATAAGTTATGCTGTAGGGAAAAAAAATGTCCGAAAAATTATAATTGCTCTAAAAATTTCAAAAATTTACATAAAAATTATAATTTTTGTTTTTCAAATAATTTGATAAATTATAAATTATCATTTGAATTTGTTGTTTTTTGATTGGGATTCGAACAAAATTGTTGATTAAATCAGATTAATTGAATATATTTGTATAAAGAAATGTATGTTGAATTGTGTAACAAGCTAATTAATTATCGCTGAAAATAATTCCTTGCCACAAATTACTGCTAATTATGCCATTATATTTCATTTGATATATTCAATGATATCATCAATAAAAGCCAATGTAATTCTCTTTTAATGATCAAAAAAATAAAAAATTCTAGAAAACTAGCAAATGAATTGTTTTCATTTAAAAATCTCAAAAAAAAAGATTGACAATATTGTGCAATTGACAAAAACATTAACAAAAAATCACAAGCTTCAATTGAAAAAAATTTCGATAAGAATTGCGCAATTGACAAAAAAAAAAAAGAAAATTCATAAATTTTATTTAAAAAAATTTCGATGACATTGCTCAATCGACAGCAAAAAAAGAAATTAAATAATTCGTAAATTTCATTTAAAAGGATTTCGACGAGATTACGTAATTCACAAATTTCATTTTAAAAAATTTCGATTATATTACGCAGTTTGGAACAAAAAAAAAAAAAAACTCATAAATTTTATTCCATTCCTATCGAAATATTACTCTTATCAGTGAAAATTTGCGCTTTTTTTTTTTGGTTTGTTTTATCATCGAATATTTATCTTTTTTTTATTTACTTTTAAAGTAATCTTTCCGTTACGACAATTTCATCGCTTCATTCGAAACTATTGTCGCATATTTGTCGTTGAAAAAAAAAAAACTTTTTTAAAGTAACAATTAATAATTTTTGCTCTCTTTACCTGAATAATTTTACAACTTTTTCATTTGATCAACTTTTTTTTCCTATCTTTCGCAAGTATTTGTCATTTTTTTTTTACAATGAATTTCATTTAAATAGGATAAAATGAATTGATGAAAAGATGGATAAAAGATAAAGGAAGTGATTAAATTTTTCAATTTTTGCACTTACAAATTGTGCTAAAATTATCGGAAATTTTTAAATTTATTTTTTAAAACGATGAAGTTCATATGGCTTAAAGGATGTTATGCGCAAACAAAAACATTGAATTGGGCGGTTTTTCATTTTCCAGTCGTTTTTTTTCATAGGATTTTTGGATGAAAGTTTCGTGTTTGATTAATTGAAGCTATTAGACATGAAATTTGTTAAAGCAATGAAAAAATTGAAAGATAAGAAAGAAAAATTAACGTTACAAAAATAACTACGACCGCTGGGATTTTTTTTTTTTTTCGGATAAATTATTAAAAATTAACAAAAGAGGATAATTATATCATTTAACAATTAATTAATTAAGTGAAAAAATTAACAAATTATTGTCATATTAATTGTAAATTATTGATTAGTTTTTGTATGTCAAATTCGTTTATGAGTTACTAATTGAAAATTCGATGATAAAAGAAATTTAAAAGATTTATGTTGCAGAAATACAGAAGAAAGTTTTGCTAATTAAAGCAAAAAGCGATAATTTATGTGAGCTAAAATGCAAAAGTAAGCATAATATTTATATAGTATTAGTGTAGTTTAATAGTTCCAACTAAAAAATTAAAGGTAAACTTTAATTAATTAATAATTAATTAATCAATAAATACCAAACGGATTGTTGACATCTGTTATAAGTTATTTTTTAACTTCATAAATACATTTAATGCAACGATAAAATGTTAAGTGTATGAAATTTTATTTATTAGAAAACAAAAAGAATCAAATTAATCAAGTAGATGTGATGAATTTGTTAGAAGATTTTTATCTTTAAAGAACGAAAAAAAAAGAAAAAAAATGGGCAACAATTCTTGGCATCGTAGCTTTCGGATAAATTAACAAAGGATAATAATTATTTCATTTAATAATTAATTAATATTTTTAAAAAACTTAATTTTACGGAAATAATTTATTTTTAAATAATTGCGATAGAAGTAAATTACTGATTAGGAAGATTTTTAATAAACAAATGGTGTTATGTTACTATTATTTTTTTTAATTCCATCTTTCATTCTTATTAAAAAAACTTCTAAAAAGGAAAATATAAAATTCAAATAATTAATAACAATTAATGTCGCATTGTTAATGAATTATTTGACGTTTAAATAATTAATTTCATTTCTTTGAATATCTCTCTTT